TCGTTTTGATTTTCACATGAGATCAGATCCTGAAATTCAATTGGTCAAAATTACAGGATGAACAATTTATTGTAGGAGAGCTAAGGCGTTTTCGAAGGCTATCATCTTAAACTTGGTTTTTTCATATCTTCTAGTTATTATTCTTTTTAATAAACAAATAATAAAAATAGTAATAAATAAAAAAATAAAATAATTAAGTAAGAGTATTGCTAAATATCACCACTTATATGCTTGACCAATCAAATTGTAGGATCTTGTGTAACCAAAACAATAGCGAAACTAAGAAAAAAAGTCAAAAAATATTGATAACAAGATATTTTATTATGTTAATGAATCTTCGTGAACTAATTAAAAATTTTAATACAAAATTTTATATATTAATTCACCTTCTTTACTCTAGCCCTATTTAACTCTAACTCTAAATTTCAATTCTTTAATTAAATATATAATAGAGCAGTGATCTTTAGCAAAATTCATTAAAACTAAAGCTATAGTTAATGGACTACAAAAAATTTTTAGATTTGACCAGCTTTCAAAATCATATTTCGCTAAACTGCCACCACTACCAGAGGATGTAACTAATATCCATACTGAACTTTAGGAATATTTTCCTATTACAAACAGTCAAGCTCTCCAATATCTAGAATATTATCGACGCAAGCTCACAGATTACTACACAGTTGACTCTATCTCTAAAGCATATTTTTAACTTCCAGAACCCAAACAGCCATTTTCGACAACATATCAGGAACTGAACTCAAAGGTTAGAGATTTCTTCCTATCACTCGGATGCAACAAATATACCACTAGCAGAGGTGGTAGCCTTAGTATAACAGTATTATATATTCAAGCTTCTTCCTAATGACTACTTTGCCACAAAACTATTACTCCCCTTGAATTCAAAGCACATCAAAACTAGTACCCAATTTACCTTTCCAATTACAGATAATATTGTAGCACAAAACTTTATGCACGAAGCTTCACAAAAATATAAAATATGACTTCCATTGCCACATAGCATTATGCAAGCAAATCTTACAAACAAACCTAGCCTACCTACTAGTGACCAAGTTACAGCAGAATATAAAATTACTACAGTCAAACCCCTCTATAGTCACACTTTCGAGATACAAAAAACCATGATTGTAAAGAGGTGTGACTAATATAGAGGTGTTTTCTATATAGTTATAAATAATTAGTAAAAATAAATTTGTAATTATACCAATTTTGTGACTATAGAGGAGGTGACTATAGAGGGGTTTGATTGTATATCTATTACATCACCTCAGCAATTTACAGAAACTGTAAAACTGCTTCGTCAACACTACTACTTTACAAAAATATCAGAAGAATGGATAAAAATCCCAACTTAAGCAATCACAACTACCAACTCTAGTGATGCAAATACTACTGAACAACCTTTGCCTCCTATACCAAATAGTTTAGAGGACTTGAACACAGCCTTAGTTTCTTTTAACTCACAGCTAACATTACCAATCACATCACAAACACTAGTCACCCCTACTATGCAAACATTGCACCAACATTTTACAGTCAAAGCTATCTCTAGCTTTTTACTCAAGCTACCTTCACTACCAACCCATCCAGGGCAATATTCTCTCAGACAAATTCATCTTCTACTACTACACCAGAGGCTAATATGACACCATAGACATGAATTAGCTGACTAATGACAACACAATTATAACCAAGCCACTCACAATCGCTATATACAATGCCCAAGGACTCAATCAAATTACAAAAAGACAATTACTCTTTGACTACTGTTTAGCCCAAAATTTTGATATTATCTCAATCATGGAAACAAAACTAGCATATTCCAGATATACAGATAGGAATCTACATAACCAATATTATAAATACTTCTCATCTAATAACTCAACTACAACCCTCTATATCCCAGAGAATCTAGTGCAGGTACAGCTATTCTTATAGCCCAACCACTCACAATATATATATACAACATCCAGACACTACCTAGTACAGCTATTGCAATTAATCTATTCTTTCCACATAAAAACAATTTCTGCATTATATCTGTATATTTACCAAAGGAAACATTTACAAACAATAAAACTCAAGACCAGATTATAACATAGATTCAACAAGCCTGTCAATCTCAAATCATACCCATAATCCTGGAGGACTTCAACCAAGACTTATATAAACAGCAAAGATTAACACTATACAAGTACTTTGAATCACACAACTTTATACCTCTAGTTCATACCTACCACCCTACTCACCCACCTGGAGTAGAGATAAACTCTCTAGCCAAATTGATAAAATATAGATATCTCAACAAATTACGCACTTAGCTACACAACCTACTCTCACTCCTGCAATTCAGGTTACAAACAGTGATCACTGTATTATACATACTGATTTGCAGCTATATGTTAACTCATCTAAATACTACAAGAAATATAAATTTAAGGTCTATAAATATGATACTATGACAACCGAACTCTGGGAACAATTCCAACAAGATACACAGAATACTACCTCTCAAATTACAGAAGAAATAGCAAATACACTTTCAATCAACCAACTTTGGCACCAAATTAATACAGCAATTATCAAATTAGCTAAATCACATATACTTTTCTCACAACGATCACAAAAACAGCACAACACCTTCTCACCTAAAGCAACAAAGATACACACAGAATTAAATCTATGTGGTAGTATACTTCACACTTTAGTAGTGCTACATAAAAACCCCAACAATTATCTATATAACCACAACACTATGCTTCAAGCAATTAATCAAAAAATTCATACTATATGGCAGCTATCTAACCTTCTTATTACAGATCTAAGCCCACAAGATATTAGCATTAGCAATATCGTACAAACCATCAATATGATGAAAATATACTGAAAAACTCTATCATACACGAGAAAATGAAAATCAGCAAGCCTTCTCACAACACATTCACCAGTTTATTGAGAAAAGATATAACAATTTTACATCCCATACTACAACAATGATCAATAGTATCCTCGATAGACATACTAATATAGTAATATTTCAATATATTAAGTTACCAGACTCAATTATCACAGATCTCTATGAGATCTGAAACTATATATGAAGCCACTTTAAAGATTGGACAAAATACAATCCTAATGACCCTATACTCTGGGAACAATAGAAACAAAAGTATATACTACAACACCAAATAGATCTATCCTGATACCAGACATTAGCCAACCTATTACAATACAAGAAGTAATGCAAACTATAAAACAATCATCTAACAATAAAGCTACAGGATCATCACTTATTTCTAATGAGATGCTAAAATATACCCACTCCCATGTCACCAAATTACTGACAATACTATTTAATAAATGTCTAGAGACCTCAGAAATTCCTACAGCATGAAAATACAGTAAGATATATTCTATATCCAAGAAACCCATATTCACTGGCCAACTAAACCACACAAGACAAATAATACTTATAGAGCATATATGCAAGATCTTTACAAAAATTATCACAAACTAACTTAGCCAAATTATAACACGCTATCCTATACTTCATTCTAACAACTTTGTAGCAACTCCACACAACTTTACAACACAACCAATCCACATTCTCACAAACATTCTGCAAGAAGCCCAGACCCAAAACAAAGAGATTTGGCTTCTTTCACAGGATATGAGTAAGGCCTATGACTCAGTACATCTATCTCTACTTCAGTACACACTAAACAGGCTACAAATCCCAAACAAAACACAACAACTACTTATCAATATCCTCACAGATCGTCAAAACTCAGTGATAACAAACCTTGGACCAACTCTATCCTACCCAGTATAGGATAGGATCGACCAAAGGGAAACCATTACACCTCTCCTCTGGCGTATCTACTATGACCTACTGATTACTACTATATATTCTGAATTCCAAGGCTATACTATGATCGCATAACACTCTAACCATAACCCAATAACATACCATACCTCTATGCTAGCCTATATGAATAACACCCTATGGCTAGCTCCTAACAAAGAGATACTTCAAACAATTGTCAATCATGCCTTCTCCTTCTACAATATGGCACATATCACTGTTAACCCTACAAAATCAGTTTTAGCCACCAACTGTATCAAAAACCCAAACCCTTTTATTATTTTTGCTAACACAAGTATATCTAGTATTTCACTCAAAGAAACTTTTTGATATCTGGGGTGCTGGTTTACAGCATCTAACAACCATAAACATATCCACAAACATATTATAGAGAAGGCAACTAATCTAATTAATACATTGAAAAAGAAAAAGATAATGGAAAAACAGGCAATTTATATAATAAACACAGTACTTATCCCACAATTTTTATACAGAACACTCAATACATATATTTTTGAAAATAGCAACTGCATCATTACCAATAAATATACACAAGTTGTTCAACACAGGGTTTGGGTCCCATAGCTTATTGGTTAAGCTACCAAACCGCCACAGACAAGGTCAACAGTTCGAGTCGGGCTGGAGGCAAATTAAATAATTTGTTTCTGTAACCTATGGGGGCCATAATCGGATGCGAAGCCCTGTGAAAAAGTTCAAGTACAGTATGAAACCAGAATAAGAAGTTCCCAAAAAGAGACCAGGTTGTGGAGTAAAGGCATTACATGTGATAGCAGTGTCACAGAAGGTCTAGGCAGTAGAAGATCGTGCATGTAAGTACTTGAGTTGGGGTGATATGGGCAATACTAACATCCTACCACCTCCATATTTGGCAATACCAACATCTCTACACCCAACTTGTAGGGTATTTGCTTGGAAGGATGATCAATGAATCGTGCACATAAGTCCTAATGTGGAATGGCGTTAGGCACTTGCTTGGAAGGGTGATACTATACTACCAAAAACTGGAGTAATGAGAGAAGCAGTAATATACAACTATGGGCTGTAGTAAAGGATTATGTCTTAACTGAATTGGAAATGCCTCTGACACCAGTACTAGTTATTTCTTTACTTCCTACAATAAAGTACTCTGAATATCTCGAATTTTCCTCATCTCTACGGATATTACGTATATTTGGTACTACTTTGATATCTGGGTTTGATTTTCTAATAAAACCAATGTCATTTGGTGTGAGCGTAAAATTCTCCATTGGTCCAATTAAAACAGGTGAATTTCTATCATTACGATAAAATAATCTTGAAGTATCATTATAGGGATAGGGACAATGTCCCGCGGTAAATAGAAAATCTTGTTGAAATTGATTTTTCATCCAAAAACCTGCACTGCATCTTAAAGGCTTAGATCCAAACCAATTGACAATTTCATCTCCGCCAAGTATAATTGTAACCAATATCTCACAATAAACCAAATACCTAAATAATAGAAAGAGAAGAGAATCTTTCCAATATCAAAAAAATTTATCTTTGATAGAAACCTTACTAATATCAAATCTATAAACCTTCTTGAACATTTAAAGAAACTCTATACTAAACTTTTAACAAATTGTCTATATTTATATTCTCAATAATATTATTAAAGAGGTATCTTGTAATACTAAAAACTTTGGCTTATATTTCAAGATATGAGCAAAGCATATGACTCAATCAATCTAGAGTTATTTTACAAATCTCTTATATTTATTAATATGCCCCCTAAACTTATACAAATATTTACTAATCGATTAACAAATCATCACAATAGAGTTATCACAAATCTTGTCCTCACAAACTTATATTCTGTTAATAACAAGATTAATCAAGGGAAAACTATAACCTCTTTGTTTTAGTGAATCTACGATAACCCTCTTATTAATAGAATCACAACCCAATTCACAGATTATATACTAGCTGCCTCATAACAAACCAGTTTGTATTCTCCATGATATTAAGAAATTCAAATCTCTATCTCAGTACTTGCATATATAGACAATACACTTTGGATTGCCCAATCCAAAGAGGAACTTCAACTCATTACCCAGACTGCAATATTATTTTACCAAATAGCAAATATTCAAATTAATCCTATTAAATCAGTATTTACTTGCAACTAATCTACAAACTCTATTTTATTTTGCAATTCTTTATTAAACTTTATACCTTGTAAATAGGGTTCCTCAAAATCAAATCAAATCAAATATTAGGCTTATTTGAATTTGATTTGATTTAAAAATCTGGATTTGAA